CATCTTCAGGAATCGCTCATTGATCACCTCGCCACAGTCCTCCTCCAGTATAGGCTCAGCTCTTCCGACAGCAATAGGGCTCCTCGGTGTTGCAGCTCGACTTTCCAGTCTTCGTAGGTCGATCAGGCGAGTCCCGTATCTTGGCCATTTTCCCGGCCGTGCACTCCTTCTTGGTGTGTTTCGTTGAAAAGAGCAACCCCAGCATCGGCCTCGCTTGTCGATGTTGGCCCATGCAGTCATGCTTGAAGGTGCAATCGCCTCCTCTGCGGCATCCGTCTTCCGAGCCCCAAAACTTGCAGACCTTCTCTTCCTTGGTCGCTCCTTCAACCTTCGTCTTGAATGTAGGCTTTTCCCCTTTCTCATCCGTTGACTGGGTCAATGCCTTCACCTGGTGGAGTCGGAGTCGTTGTCGACGAGATAGGAGCAGAAAGCTGACTCCGCCTCAGCTAGAAGTGCGTCCGAGAAGTTCAAAACTGTTTTGAGATTCGGCGACACATCCACCAACAGCGCAGCCCGGGTCGAACTCAGTCGGAATGTGGTCTGAGTTGAGCTCTTCGTCAAGACCTCTGCCATCTGATCGAGGGCCCCCATGAGCAAGGTCGGATCTGGGGTCGCTATGTCAAGCTCCTCCGCTCTCCTCAAACTGCGATGCCAACCACAAAGCCCTTCCAACAATCCTCCCAAATCCTTGGGGACCGCTGGCTCGACCAACATGCGGAGTAGTCGTGCTTTCTCCGCCAGTCCTCCCGGCTGGTAGTGGGTCAACACGGCATAGATCAAATCGACGCTTCCAGTCGCCCTGTTCGCCAGCACCTCAGCTCGAAGCTGCGGGGGCAACGCATTCAGCAGCATGATCTGGCCTCGCTGTTCCAGCCTGCTCCAAGATCCAGTGCACTCTGCTGGTACTTCTGGTCGAACATAGAGCCGCTGCACCGGTTCAGCCTTCAGCCAGGTTTGATTCGCTGTCATCGCCCGATTGGTGACCTGCTCCCACCATTGAGCCGACACAGAACTCAAGTCTCTCATGGTCGGAGTGACCATCTGCAGCCAATCTCCCACCACCAAGGAGCCCAGTTCACCCTCCTTGAGCTCCGGTAGCGCTGGTAGGTCCACGGTCCTTATGCTCTCGTTGAGCCACCCTCCATGATCACCTCCTCTGCCTAGTTGTCGCAGCATCGTTTCCAGTGGTGATCCCTGCTGCGCCGTAGGTTCTCCACCGGTGCCCCAACCCGGACGATCTTTATGATCAACGCCCCCCTCTCTGACAGTCTCCTTCTCCTCCTGGAGTACAAGGATGAAGTGACCTCTCAACCCAGGACGCGGTACTGGAGGAGCTCCACGTTCGCCGACATGAAAACTCCTGAACGTCCACCCTGTTCTGGTCGAAGTCCAACCTTCGTCCACTCCGGGAAGTCGGGAATCTCCATCACAGTTCCTTGGGGTTCTGACACTGTCGCTCCTCAGGCAACTTCGGAGGTGGTGGCGGACTGGGCGCAAAAGTCCCTTTCACAGAAGCTGGCTTCGATTCCCCCTTGAAATCCCCAGCCACCTTCACCTTCTCGGCGTCCTCAATCCGCTTCCGAAGTTCCGCCAGCTCTTTCTTGAGCATCGAATTCTGTGACATCACCATCACATCCCTGAGGTCGACCCCCACGTCCTCTTCCCCCGTCGTAGTGCCCGGAGCCACCGAAGTCGTGGATGCCGATGGTATAGCGAAGCTGGCCTCATGGCCCTCAACATCACCTCGTCCTTGATCAGAACGGGTTCACCTCTACTTGGGGAAGGTTAGCTTGTCCCTGACCTTTCCCATCCTTCTTCCTCGAGTCTTCCCTTGCCCTCTGAGGTCCGTAGGTGGTAGGCCTTCCCGTCGGCATAGCCGGCACCAGCTCGAGGCCCGTGGATCCTTGGTCCATCAATGCCAGCTGCTCTTCTTCCCGAGCGCTAGCCATTGACTCGCCCGAGGTGTCTGGAGTCGACATGGCGGCCAACGACACCCAACTGGATGGTGGTCTTTCTAGAAAATGCTTGGGCTCATAACCCGCAAGACAAAAAAACGGAGGCTCTCTTTTCCTCCAGCTTGATCGAAAAAGGGCTAGGTCGGCCCCTATTGGTTTCCTTGAAACTTGGTACACTTCTCGATCCTTGTGGACTCTAAAGCTTGTTACACTCCTCGAATTTAGCGAGCGGCAATTTCAACCCCACGAGCTTGAAGAGGATTTTCAATCATGTTCAATCCTTGTTTGTGTGCGTGAAAGATAATCAACATAAATCAACAGTCTACAGTACAGCACTGTAATGTTCTTTACATTGCTGT